CAGAATAAATTCAGGAGTTGCTCCAGAGGTTATGCCCCACTGTGCTCAGAAGTTATTTTACATCAGGGTGACCTATGTCATCAGAAGAGCTGTATGAGCGTGGCTGGGCTCCGAGATGTTTTGGTGATGTTCTGGACGCCTTACCATACTGCTGCGTGCCCTGTTGTGACCACCCGTGACCTGTTTGCCAATCAGTCCTGCTCTTGGGTCACACACACCAGATGTCGCCGTTCAAGCACCGGAGGGCTGCTGGGTTCTGCCTCTTGTATCTGCGAATGCTCAGCATTAACAAGCCTGACAAGTATACGGGGCATCATTTTCCAGCAAGCCCTGTACTATATCCAGCCATTATACTTACAGATGACCCAATACTAAGCTCTTAGATTTTCTTGCCCTCTAGGCAGAGGCAAAGATGAATTCCTGATACCCAGAAAACATGCATCCAGCACCGTCCTGTTCACACAACTAGAAGCTGGATGGCATGAACCAGCTCTTTCTCACAGCTCATCCACAACAAAACAAAGAGACTAAGGAGAGAAAACCCATGACTGCTAGTAGGGGACAGCCAAGGCAGCCAGGAGCGCCTTGTTTCAGAGCTACCAGACACAAGGGCTGCAAGAATCTGACCCTCAGCCATACAACTAGTTGGCTGCTGTCCCGAGAGCCCTCTGGGTATGGCCACACTGCAGAGCAGGGTAAGCATCACTGCGTGGGCTCTTAATTTAAGTGTTTTGTATTGCTTGGGGAGATGTACAGCCAATTTTTCCTTTTATTGCTCCTGCAGGACACTGCCACATTGAGCAGCAACTTCCCATTCTGAGTTCTCAATTTGCTGGGCAGGCTCCAAACAGTAGCATCCGTCAGTGAAAATGCTGCCTTTCTTTCCTCTGGCTCCCTGGAGAGATTACACCCCCACCAGCAAACACTTTTGGAGTCTACAGCAATTGATTTTGCACAATTGTCCCTCCTGCCCCAAAACTCCTACTCATCCAGCATGATGTGCCCAGCCCAGAGCAAATTCAAGAAAACAAAAAACCAAACAAGAAAAACCCTACCACACAATGTCCTTACGAAGAGCTGCTCAGCTCTTGTTATATAGTTCTAGCATGAGGAGTATGGTGCATTTTGATCATGCAGGGAATTAATTCAGAAAATTGGTTTGCTGTCAAGTTTATCTTTGTAAATCTGAGCAAACTTTTATTTTTCACTGACAATCTCATTTGGATATTATTTTTTCAGTGAAATCGTAGCACAGCTTTCTTTATGTCACCATAAATCTTGGAAAGGTTTTCTTTGTAGTAAAACCTTTGTCAGTGTATTTGCACAACAGCTATTAACAGTATTGCAAAAACATATGAAGTATAAAACAGGCAACACATTGCAAAGCACAAATTGCAAAAAACCAAACTTTCCTATCCCCTTGAACACCTGAAGCTTATTGCAAAACTGCATGGATGGCACAGTGAAGGTGAAACATGTTCACACAAGAGATTTTAGATACAGAAAGTGCTGTTAAAGGTTGTTCCTTTTTAAGGCCTGTCTTGCCTTTTCCTTGGTTAGACACCTATGCTTGTACAGCTCCATGAAACAGCCAGAGTTACCTTTCTGAACAACAGCAGCACCGCACATCCCACTCGATTCTTACAGTTTTTACAAGCAGATCTGTTCTTTGCTGTTGCACCAGGCTCCTTCCTCACCTCCGTTTTCTCCTGTTTATTCTGATTGTGCTGCTAATGAGACACTTGTTTCCTGACCTCTGGCCTCTTGCCAGCCTCTTGCAGCCCCTGTGATGTTAAATGAAATAAGGCACAGCAGCAATCCAGCAATCAAACCACTGAAATCAATCTCTGCAATCTAGGTGGGCTTCATTAATATTTTTTCATTCTGGGCAGCACAGGAGGGAAGGTAGAAGAGGGGCGCTATCACACCTGGTGTTTGCCAAGATCAGAGTGGCGCACTGGAGATGGTATACTGAAATTTGGTGTGAAAAAACCTGTATCTTTGCAGCCATGGTAACAAAGCAATAGCTGCTTACGTTTCTTGATTTACAGATCAGTAACAAATATCAAGGTTTTTAAAAATGGTAACATTAACATCTGGCTCAACATCTGACAAACCTAGAAGTTAAGAGGCAAGAAAAAAGAACTAAAATGAAGCCATTCTGAGGAGCTGGTGGAATTGTTTGTAAAGCCCAAAGATAGTTTGGGGGCAGAAGTCTCTGTAGCAGCAAGAGAAGAAATGAAATTAAAAGAGCAAGAGACCAAGAAAAGAGATAATTGTGAGAGCTTGGAAGGGAAGGGCTGGGGAAGGGGCTGGGTTTGTTTGAGGAGCTCATCAAGGAGGGACTCACAATGAGGGAGCAGGAGCAGGCTCAGCCAGTCCAAAAGGATGATGAAAATGGGGATGTAACAGCAGTTCGTGGAGATGAAAGCAGACGCTGGTACTGGAGGCCAGGAACCTCCAGAGCTTCTATTCGTTACCTTCTTCATCCTCCAGCTGTGCTTGCACTGTAAGGACTAGTCACGATTTTGTTCCACTACAAGGGTACCTTACCTTTTCCTACTGCCTAAGTCTTGTTATTAAAAATTCTTGGGTTTGTAAGGGTCCAGAAGCGATTGACAACCCATGAATGCGGATAGCTTCAGATCTCCAGACTGAATCTATCAAAAGTGTCATGGCTTTTTCTGAAATGCTTGAAAATGGTGGTCATCATTTAGACAGGAGCACTCTGCAGTCTGAAAAGGGTAGATAATGGGATCTATAAAATAATTTGACTCTCAATGGAGAACACAGGTATTCTTGGCTGGCTTTCACTAGGGGCCCTACCAGACAGTGTGGGGAAGAATCCCACAGTCTATAGGTCTCTGAGCAGCACAGAAGTAGAGGGTGTATATAATACCAAGGGCATACTTGGAGGAAATCTCTGCCCTCTTGTGTGGAAGCAATGACGCAGTGAAGTGAAAGCTTTGTTTAAATGCATCTACTTCATGGCAGGTACCCCAGTAAACACATGGAAGACTCGGTCCTTTTTGTAAATTACCTATGTAGATAGATAAAACTTCTGCCTTTGGTTAGAAATGCTCCAGTGTGAACTGTTCTTGACAGAACTGTTAGCTGAGTCCTTCAATCCCTGTTTTCTTGGAACGGGGAGGACCTTTTCGGGACCATTCTCTTCAGACTAATTTCTCCTTTTACTTGTTGTGTGATGTTTGTTTCTATAGAAGCAGCTGCACACTGTATGGCTGGAGTCAGTCCTTAACATCTCTCTGATGCATCCTTTTGAAAAGCATCACCGTGCGGTGGATTAAAAACATTGTATAACTCAATTCCTGCAGACACACATGGTGGAGCTAAGAGTGGCAACTTTTTCTCTTTGATTCTCATGCGCTGCTAGAAGTAGTTTTAATTGCTTCATAGTCCTAAGGTGAAGTCTCCCATTAGCAACAGCCGCTGTATCTTAAAGATGGTAATAGCAAGCACTTGAATAGCACTTTTTGTCTTCAAAGTACTTTGCAGACATTCTTTGCTTCTGAATTAGGGATGAGTTTCTCTCCTTTCCCAATGAGATAAATGTTCAATCTGACGTGGGAAACAGACAAAGCTAATGACTCCAAATTCTCCATTGGAATAGGGCCGTGTTCTGCTGGTTTGTTTTCATGGTGTAAAGTGGCCCTAGAGGACGTATGGCTGGTATCACCTCTGCTGGTGGAAATCTTCAGGCTGTATGAAGTCAGATGCCTGTAGTGCTTCTGCCGTCATACAGCTAGTGTAGGGAGTGGGCTCCTACCCACCCCATGCGCTTCAGCTCTGTGCACCATGCACGATGTGAGGGGCAGGGGTATTGAACTGGCACACAGGTGAGCTCCTGGCATTGGAGAAGACTGGGGATATGTGTGCATCTCTGAGCAGTGGCTCAGCCCCTGTGTTTTGAGGAGCCGTTGTCAGACATCCCTCATCCAGCCTTGCAGAGACAGCCCTGTTTCAGTGAGCTTCTGTGCCCCGGGCGAGGGAAGCATTCATCGCAGAAGATGAAGCCGTGCAGCCGGCGTTCATATCACACTTCCTATCAGTACCCAGTACCTCACAGGGGAACTGATGAGCCAACTGGCAGAGACTGGGGCCCCCAAGTTGGGAATGTCTCTGAATGACCACGTCTGAAGGAAGAGGAGGCTCTGTCCTGTCACTGGCATCATTGACAAAACTCCCATTGACTCGGAGGAGAGTATGAGGAGGCCCAACAGTGTTGACTTCTGATGTCATCTCCCTGGTTTACTTTGTTTTCCAAAGACCCCTTTGTACTTCTCTCCCTTGCTTTGTATTGTGAATAGTCAGACCATTTCTGTGCTCAGGGTCCCCATTTGTAATTAGTTTGCATTGTTGTGACCCTATTACGTACAGGTTGACTAGCAAGTCACCTATCGCTATATTGAAGGATCGCTATATTGATCCTTCAATATAAGATTTAATAAAAGCCACGAGAGGAAGAGGAGGGAAGTGAGAGTGCGGAGGAGGAGGAGGGCTGCTATTGTTCTGCCTTCGGCGCTGCCAAACCATCCCTTGTTTTTTCTGTGGGCTGTCTGTGTGTTCAAAAGCTGTTTGAACAAACGGGGCGCAGTCAGGAGGCTGACGAGAGGGCGGCGAGAGGGTTAGCTGGGTCTTAGCTAGAAATTCTTGCACAAGTCAGGAAGCAGGCATGGGAGGAAGGAAATTAAGTGGAGACATCTGTGTAGCTTAGCTTTCAGCAGCTCTGCCTGGGGTAGGGGTGGGAGAGTCATGCCTAAGATGACGTAACGTATTTTGTCTTTCATGAGTTGAAAACAGAGGAAACTGCGAAAGCGAAGCATGGTCTGTATCACGCATGGTCCGGGCGTACCAAGTACATAATGGAGCAGTGTCACTGCTTTCTGCTCTGCCTTTCACACCCCAAAATAACTCTTCAAGACAGAGAACTGAGGAGAATGTGATATGGTCCAAAAACTGATCTTGGACTTTTTTCGCAGACGACTGAGCCAGAGGCCAACTGCTGAAGAATTGGAGCAGAGGAACATACTGAAACGTAAGTCCTGATACTGCTGACATTTAACCTGAAGCCATCTAGTTTGGGTTAGTTTCAATGTACGTTGGGTGTTTTTTATAAAACATCAACTATTCTGTACATGCATCATTAATAATAATGATAAAGTGCATCATAAATGCAAATAAGCATACAAGTCTGTAGCAATATCTAGAGCTGCAGAAACAGTTCTTTAAAGTCAGAGTCAGTAAATTCACAAGAATAAACAATCTACGGGGGGAAAAAAACCAGACGTTGAATGTCTTTTGCAAGTCCTGTTCCAAACAGAGGGTCGGTCATTCTGAAAAGCCTTTATGTGGCTCTTACACAGATGAGCATCCCATTAGAAGTCAGTAAAGATGTTAGGGAATGGCTTGATTAGTTTTCCTAAAAATCTTCACAGCAATCTAGACTAGGTGGAGCCTTTATTCAATTAAAAAAGAAACCAATGTGACTCAGGATTATTTCCCTGAAATGTTCCCCTGAGATTCTTCCTTTAAATCAGCCAAAAACTTGCTGGTAGATCCTCAAACATTAAATGATGTTTTAAAGGGACAAAATACCATTTAGAGAGCCTGGTCTGAGTTCAATTAGCAGATATGTTGCCACCAGCTTCAAGGGAAGCCGGACTGAGTCTAGCTCAAATCTCATAATCTCATGAATGAATAGGGGGAAAAAAAATCACAGTTTCTTTACTCATATTGAAGTGGTTTGAAAATAAAAATTAAAAAAGCTGTTTATCTAATTCTTGTTACTTTTGAAACAGAAAACAAAAGAAACAAGTTCTTCCCTTTCCAAATTAGTAAATCCATCATTCCAGGGAAATCTAAAAAAATTACTACACAAAAAAGTATTCCTAAATGGTACCTCAAAATACCATAAGTCTCCTTAGGTAGGTCCATAATTTACCTTCTCTTGTTGTTGAAATAACTGCATCGTACAGAATCATAAAAATGTGGTAGCAGAAGATTAATTCTCTGAAAATTAGCAGAATCAATTGATTAAATACTTCAAAATCAAATTCCTAGCAAGTTAATGATAGTGTTAACGCTCAGCAGGGTTTTTTTCATCTGTTCATGCTATTACGCGTGGCAGACAAAGAGAAAGAGAGAGACACCACTGTCAATGCAAAGAGGAGAAAAGACCGGACAGCGGACAGCAGAGCGGCGTGGGCGAGCCCCAGGCCGCCAGGAAAGCCATTTGTTTGGGGCCAGCCCCTTTTTGATGGCTGTGCTCCTACCATCTAACTCCTAACTCCCGTGCCTGGCAGCTGGAGAAAGTCAGGGGCAGAAACTGGGGAAACAGGTGGCACATCCAGATGCGATTGTCTCAGGAGGGGGTAGCAGAACAGCTGGAGGAGGGGGAACCTGCAACGTGACTGATGCCAGGCTCAGGCGAGGAAGGACAGAGGCCAATTCTCTGGGCAGCTCATGTTGTCATCCCGGGACTTGCCACCAGCATGACCCAACATGTGTCATGCACCACCTGGCACTGGTGCGTAACCAGTAAACACCGCCCTGGCACTGGTGAGGGTGGCTGGGGGGAGGTGGGGGGTCTCGGGCAGCTGCTTTGGCAGCAGCGTTTGAACCGGCATCAGCAGAGAGGCAGCATCTCCAATGCAGGGTGCCTTGCAGAGATTCCTAAAGGCCATGTTGCCAAGCGCAGCAGTCACGTAGCGACCTGAAGGTGTCTTACATTTCAGAGGAGTTATCCCCTGAGTCACACTGGTTTCTTTTTGAATTGAATAAAGGCTCTTAAATGACATGGATGTGTTTGAAAATATTACCCTGAACCCAGAACTATATTGTATTTCCTAAATGGAATTTTTGTAGCTTGGTTCCTAAGCACAGATCTGCCCCAAAACATGTGTGTCTCTGTAGACAAACATCTTCATAATTACAGGAAAAAGTAATGTGGTATTTCCAAGGCATCTCAACTTTTGGTGAAGCACAGCGGGAAAGGAACAAACAATTAAAATAGTTACATAATTAAAAAAAAGAAAGCATAAAAATGCTCCACTCTTGAGCAAGTAAATATAAATAGTGCCTGGTTTTTACAGCATCACTTCGTGTCCTTTCCCTAGGCTTCTGAGAAAAAGAATTATAACAAATATAATGGAGCCTAGAGAAAAATAGACGTAGGAAGCAATAATGAAAACAGTGTAAATTGTCTGCATAAGCAGGTCAAGCTATTTGCAAAAGCCCAGTTCATAGCGCACACACATAGGAAAAAAAGAAAACCCAGCAAGCTCCCAAGTAGAGTAAATAGGATTTGCTCTGCAGTTAAAGCTGAAATCTCTCTGATGCAAATGTCATGTCTGGTACCATGATGTTCCTGTTACGTGTGTAACCACATTATTGCCCATTCTGATGGGAAGAAATGAGGCAAAATGCAGTTGGACATCCAGTCATTATAGATGAAGTGACCACTTCGTAGCTCCGTGCCACTGCAATAATGATGAGATGGTCAGCTTTTTTGAATTGCAAGGGCAAAGCATCCATTGCACAAGTTCCACTACTTGCTGGTAGCAGCAGTAAGATTACAGCAGTCACAGCAAAGAAACCGAGAACGGGGACACTGGTGCTTGAAGGGTCCTTCACTGAAGTATACCCAATTCACTGACTTTTATTGAAGTCAAAGGCATGTAGTGAGAGGAGTCCAGATCTGCAGGGTTAGTGTGAAGACTAAAGAACACTTTTCGTAGTCAGTGCTTGCTGGCCAAGTTTGTGAGGAAGGATGCCTGAATCCCCCTCACACACCACCCCCGTGCCACTCCTCAGATGGATACAAGTACTTCAGTTGTCAGCCTGGCACATTCAGGGTTGCATAAATTCCTCACAAAAATGATGGTTAAGTAGGCTCTGAGGGTCTCAGACGTACTGGGGGACGTTTCACGCTGGCACAGAAATCAGGCCTGAAAATCACACCCACAGCCACCCAACCTCACACACACAGGTCCAGAGAAACAAAGCATCTCCTGAACACACAAGATAGAATAAAGCAACAGTTTTGTAGCTTCACAAGATTGGCATGACTTAATTAACTTTAAAGAAATAGCTAAAACGAAGTCACCTTCTGGTTTCAGAGGAGAACGTATTCCTAATTCCCAGCTTTTATCTGACCGAGGTCTTCAGCCTGCCTGGCTGTCTCTGAAGGTAGGTGGCTGGGCTGAGAAGTGAGGAGAAGAGAAAGACATCGTATGCCAAGTACAAAAATGAATGGCCATAACTAAGTTTTATACATAACTCTCTAGCTGCTTGCAGTTCTACCCTGACTCTGTGTGGGCTCTGTTTAGCGCTGTGTCTCTCTGGCTTAATCTTACAAGGATTTATTAGTGGCTCTGCTTGTGAGAGTAGGCATTTGCAGGACCAGCTCCTACAAATTTGAGACACAAAGGGAAGAACGAAATTGCTAGAGGAGCATTTGCTAGAAGAGAATCCAGCCCCATAGGAACAGGAACCATTGAAAGGAAAAATATATTTATCAGTGTAGGTATTCCAGTTATCGTTTAAAGAGCCATTTGTGACTCCCTGCTCTCTTCCGTTCTTTTTACTCCGGTATCAGTTTTCTTCCTCCTGAAAATGTAAGCAGTATTTTTGGTAAAATGGCATTTGAAGATCATAAGCGTACTGTAAAACATCATAACATTGACTGGCTCTGTGTCCACTTTGGTGGAGATTTCCCAGTCCTGCCAGGCAGGCTGAAGAGCTCAGTCAGGTAAAAGCTGGGAATTAGGAATACATTCTCCTCTGAAACCAGAAAGTGACTTTGTTTACCTGTCAGCTCTACTGTCCTGAGCAGCAAGAAACCTGGCTTCCAGCCTAGCCCTCTTCACCTGCTCAGAGACTTCTGTGGTCTCTGAACCTTAGGTCTTATTTCTGGGTGGGGAAGGTCCCAATTTTGAATGCGTTGGTTTGAAACGTTGCACCTCCTCCACTGTCAGCGGACTTCCGTTGGGTTAGGACCTCCTTATATTAGTTTTGGCTTGTCCCAGTTGGTTAGTGCGAGTGCTGACCTGTGCTGTCTTGGCTGAAGAAGTTACGGCTGGCTGTTAACTGCCACTCTGCCAGGGGTGCCTGCTTCTCCCACAGGATCAGCGGAGAGGAATGTGGGATTCCCCCTTGGGTTTAATTCAGTCCAAAGTTGGATAATTAAATCAAGGCACCTATCCCAAACTGGCCTTTGAGGTCCATAATCTCTCCTGCAGAGTTATTCCTCCTGAGCTAGTCCTATCTGAGTGAAAACCGGATCACACCAGGGGCACAGGGTACTTGTTGGAGAAGCTGATGAGTTGTGTTTGCTCTCATCTGTTATGTGCCCGCGTGATTGGAGTAAGGAGCAATTCAGCCATCAACGAAGCAGTGGAAACGGATCCTAACTGATTGAGGAGCTGAGTACCTAGAAACCTGGGCTTTTAGTGACTTTCAGTTCAGTGGAAAGACATGCATGACAGCCTGCTCCTAAGTTGAAGAAGAGTTAGTATACTCAAACGTTATTGTCCTCTTGAGGGATAATGGTTGAGGCTTGCCCTGGTAAGTACTTGTAACGCGATCTTTTGGCTTAATGTTGAAAGTGAGTTGCCCTAGAATGTGCTTTTACGCTCCAGTGTGATGCTGTGAAGGCTCATGATGGAAGGACACTCTCTCCTTACTCTGCTCAGGTCATGGGAAGTTGCAGATTTTGCCTGGCACCCCTATTCTGATTTTTTTTTCCATTCTCTCCAAAGAGTAGCTGCAGAGAAATTATTCTGTAGATGGGAAAAAAAAATGCATGTGTTTCTTTTCCAACCATTGACCTTGCAGCCTCGCAAAATCTGACCGTGTCGTAGCTGAACCCCCTGAGGCCACCAGGCCTGTGGACAGGGAGATAACAGTTTCTGAAGAGCTGGCTTGCTGCCTGGCCTTTCTAGAAAGTGACACACATGAAGAGGTGCCAACACAGGGAAAGGAAGGAAGCTGTAGATGTTTTATGAAGTGTGTGAAGAAGTGCAGTAGCTACAGATTGAGGAAGTTCACCAGCCCCAGAGGGACATGCTGTGCATCAGAGAGGTCCTGAAACATTAATATGCTGATGGAGAGGCTTATTTTGTTGCATACTGTGCATGCCTGATGAGTCCACAGCCTGAGATCCTTGTAAATCTTTTACAGCCCGGAATGAGCAAGAGGAGCAGGAGGAAAAACGAGAGATAAAGAGAAGATTAACACGTAAGGTGAGAAGCAACTTTGATCCTATTATGGCACTACTGTAACTTTCTCCCTACGGCACAGCTGTTTGCCTTTTTCCTTTTCCTCAGCACCATTTTCAAAAGTAGAGTGTGAAACAAGTCTTAAAAGAAATCTTTAAAAGAAATCACCGATGTTACAGGGTGTTAAGTCCGCAGACAGTGAAGGGAACCACTTTGTGGGCTATTGCTGGTAACATTTTGAAACTGGGCAAAAGAAGATCTACTCTTTATAACAGAAGGACCTTTGCACAGTGAAGGATACAGAGCCTAGCATTGGTCTAACCCTGCTCCCTGTAAACGTGATGGCTTCTGCAGCCATTACAAGGAGAGAGCAAAGTTAAAACAGTGCTGATTGCATTTGAAGATTCCACCTAAAAAAGCATTAAATTGGGAATAAACTTTTTCTGGAAAAGGAGATTGTCACTTGAGGCATTTAAACTAAATAGAGACAAGCACTCGCAAAATGGCATATAGTGCAAAAAACAACCTTGTATTGGGAGGGAAGGACGAACAAAACAGCATAGTTTGGTTTTGGGTTTCCTCCCATTTGAAAGTCATTTACCCTTAAAACTGAAGAACAGCCATTTCAGATACACACATTCCATTTCACAGCTGGTGTAAATGTCTACAGATCCCCCGATATACATAGCCAACAATCCATCCTGTTATTGCAGATAAACTTTATTTCACCACTGACATATTTCCTATCTCCAGAGGTGGAGAAAGCCCCCCAAAAACTCACATGCTTATGAAGCAGCACCAACCCCTTCCCATACATTTTGAGGTGGCTTAGTCTTTTTGACCTATGTGATCACAAGCTTTCATCGTATAAATAATGACAAGGAAAGGGCCCTAAATATTCATGCAAAGGTTACATTTGGAGAGCTGGTTTGTTTTATTTTATGGTTAAAAATCTCACACCTTGTTCTCAGCTCATGTAAATCAGCAGAGTTCTCCATCACCAATGGGGGGATACTGCTGTTGTCTGCAGGAGCTAAGAATACGGCCCAGAGAGCTATGATATTATTTTTTTAAACACTTAAATTCCTGACAACAATGCCAGGGATGGTCTCGCATCCCCTCGTAGCACTGCCTGAAGGAAAAGATCCTAACTGCCTTGCAGATGTTTCATGGGACTTAAGCTCTACGCAAAGGCTAGAAATACCATTTTACCAGGCTTTTGATTTCCCTGTACATTGAAGGGTAAACATGTACAGGAATCCAATCCAAAGCTTGATGCCATTTGATGAACAGCTGTAATAGATAAAAAACAAAGCTACCCATACCCAGTTTGCTGCCTAAGAAATGGAGGCTTGCTAACCCAGCCAGCATTATCACCGTGCGGCTCCCATCCTCTGCTATTTCGTAGGAAAGGTACAAAGCACATGAATTGTCTGTTGCAGGCAGAGGCCACAGCTACTTGCTAAACTAAAACACCCAGGCTGCTATAGCATCACAGCAGTGTCTGCTCCCTGAAACCTCAGCAGTCTTCCATGAGATTTCTTTCTTTGCCTTGGTTGCACTTTTAAGTAGGAGCAACGGCAAGAGCAGCGTCAGTCCGAGCCCCTGGCAGTCGGCTCTTTAATGTTCATAGCCCCATTCCCGGTCACATTCCTTTTAGCCTTTTTTGGCTTCTTCCCTAGTAAAGATTTTTCTCACATTTGTGAGGTGGGTAGCAACATGACTTAGCATTGTTTGATTTTGATCATATTTTTAAACTGTTGTAAATTGTTCTAGTGATACACTGTAATTTTAATGAAAGAACCACAGGCCTGGTCTAACAACAAATTTTGTTCTCACCTACCAAACATACTGTTATAAAAGCTCAGAAATCACTAGGGGAAAGAAGTGAGTAAAGTGTGCAAGTGGATAGATAGCAACTAGAAATGCCAACCACCTAGTGAATCTTGCAAAAATTGTTGTTATTCCCTAGCCCTGTCTTTCATGAGCATGTCCCAGATGTGTCGTCATGTCTACAGCAGAGTGGCAGGCTCCTTCTGTCGATTTGTACTGAAGTCTTACTACCAAAGGATTTTAAACCTCAGATCAAGCAGAAGTTTAATTGAGCACGGCAATTGTTTTGCCCAACAGTCCTTTCTGTTTGCACTGAGGTTTAATGCACACACATGCCTACAGGGTAAATTCAACATAAGGAAAGTATGCCACGTTGCCTCCTTATAAACATGTGTAGTTGGTAATAAGAAGGGAAGGGGGTTCTTGCAGAAGCTGCTGAAAAGACTTTTGACCTTGCAGTATAGAAATTGCTACCGTCCCCAATTTTTTTGGTGGCGTTATTCCAATTCCAAGGGAACAACCCACTTCATCCATTAAAAAGCTGTTCTTAAAATTCCTTCAGCACTGACATTTTGTTACAGTATTATGATGATAAGTTGTAACATGACATGCTGTAATAAGTAAGATTACCTTGCTAGGTCTAGATGCCTTATTAAAGTCAGCAATAAATATCCAGTTGAATTCATCATCTGGACAGGCAATTTATAAAAAAAAATTTTAAAAAATCAGGTGACCTATAGTGAGCTGCCCTTTTAAGCGTTTTTCATCCTCTTAGACTCATCTAACTCCAAATTAACTGGGGATAGGGAATAGCTGCCTTTCAAAGAACAAAAAGGAGGCAAATGCTGCTTGGTACAGTTCCTCGTAGCTCATGTCCCTCCTGCCCAAGGAAGGAGAGGTGAAGCGTATTTGCCTGTCACCTGAGATGCCCATGGATGAATGAGTTCTGCACATCCGACCACCCCATGCTCCCTCACCCTGCCCCTCGGGGCCCACTGAGCAGTTTTGTTTGAGTGGAGGGACATGCAGATTAGGAGGGGATTTCTCCAAGCACTGATCTTGGCCCACAAGCCCATTCCAGGAATATTAACGTGCAGAGGCCCTCTGGGAGAAGTGTAGCAGGTGGGTCCCCTCCACGAGGAGATCTGGGCCCCCAGGAATTACTACTAAGAATTTATCCTCTCTGAACCGTGGTGAATTTGGCCAAGCACCAAGGCAATTAACACAAGCCTTAACTCCCCCTGAAGACTTCCATTACAGAGAGTCGCAGCCTGGATTAACAGAACGCGTTACAAATCACTTGCAGAGAGGAATAAAACTCCTCTTTTCCTACCTTCTCTTGTCTGAAATAGCATCGTGCTCCCCGTTCCCCAGAGCTGTTTACTGCTTACTATCCTCCACTTCAATAGCTAATTTTTCCCGGAAGTCTAGCTCCAAAACTAAAAAATCTCGTAGCAGTAATAATGACAACCAAAGTGATGAGGTATGGCTATTTCTTAAAATCCATGCAATAATCTGAAATCTTTGCTCCTATTAAATTCCTGCCCCGGTACAACTTAAACTCTCTGTTCACTGGAGAGCAAGCTGGTGCCTCACTAGGAAATGTCTTGCTGTTCAATCTTTTCTTTAATTGACCTCCACTGGCTTGCATCAGCACAGGCTGTTCAAAATAATGAACTCTTGAGAGAGGTGGGACTCATCAGAGGGAGGTGAGAGGAAGGCGGGGGAAGAAAGGTCAGAGAAGAAAAAAGGTTAGCGGCTAATTTGGATAAACTGTATTTATAGTCAGAGGGAAAGGTCTTCGGGGCATTTTCATCACATCCTGCTCCTATGTCTTGCCACAAAGGGCGGGGAGCAAAGGATAGAGGGGTTTGTGTGTGCTGCTAGTTAGGATCTGTAATTTTTCACGCTGGTTTCTTCGCTAAACAACAACCATTACATCTTAATGAGGTAACAAAACAGGCAACGATGAAGTGACAAGACAACAGGCTTCATTGTGACTGAAGTGGAGAAAACTCAGCATTTCACTTTTGACTAAATCCCAAGACCAGACTGGCAAGAGTATGTCCCCCTCCACTTTACCTGGTGGCGGTACTTGGGTTTGCTTCATTTCCCATGCCGAGAACAAAGGGGTTTGTGTTAAACCTTCCCGTGCAAATTGGCTTAGTATCAAAGCTTGAAATGTGCCCATTTTCATCTCTAGCAATCCAGAATATACAGAGGAAAACTTGACCTCCTGTGACAAGACATGGGAGGTCCTGTCCTCATTTACACTGCTGTTGCATTAATACAAATCCATTTACTTTGAAAGGGATTTTTGCCCTGGTTCACACTCAAATAATGAAGTCACTCGCCATAAAGTTGTCCTGCTCCATCAGCTCGCTAATCTTCACAAATAGGTAAATAGAAACTTATACGCCAAGGAGGTACACCCAGAAAAAGTCCAGATATACACATGCACATCCCTCTGACATTAACAGAAGTAACTATAAAAGGGTGCAGCTCAGTAAGATCCCTTTCTCCCCACGTGGAGCACCACCGCCTGGTGCAGGCAATTGCATCGTGTCCTTGACTGTGTCCTTTTACTGTAAGTTTCGAACGTGCCCTATTCTTTCTGCCTCTTAGAACAAGCAGAGCTCATTCTCAGGTGTTGCCCAAGAAGGATTGTGTAGCATTAAGCAATTTTGACCCAAGAGACCACAGCTCACAGGTCATAAAAATAAACTCCAAGGTGAGATCTCAGGTGAGCTGTGCCCTTATTGTGAACAGACATTGCACTGACACCTACAGTGGAGCCACTTAGAGTCTGTTAGCAAAGCTGTTTTCCCAGCTATTTAAAGAGTTAAGGGTGCTCTGTGTAGCCCAGACATACTGAGGGAGCCTCATGCTTAGCAGCTCACAAGAAATCTCGGCAATGTCATAAAAAAGGGGCAGGGCAGTTTGTTAACTGTTCAAATAATGTAGCTTTAATTAATTGCTTTTAGAAACCCACTCAGTGTGGTTGTCCCTCTCTTTTCATTTAGTATCATCAGATCAGCACTTTGGTTTATTGTACTGAGTATTTTGTGTGTGTGTGTGCGCGCGTGTGTGAGTATTTATATGTGTAAATATATGTAGATTTATGCCTTTAAATGAACTACGTGGTATAAGCTGTGGATTTCAGGACTCTCTTTCACAGTCAGAGCACTGGCACGAGATTCAGTGCATCTTTTTTCTGCTCATAGCTCTGTCCCGGGCCTCCTGGGTCACCTTGAGCTGGTTGCTTGGTCTCTGTGCTTCACTTGCTCCAGCTGCTCTGTGGGGATGGAGACACTCCCCACCACTCTGATGGGGCGTGTAAGTACCTGACATTGCACTGGTTGTAGTTTTCGGAAGCAAAGGCAGGGCATCTAAAAATAATACACAGTAATAGTTGTATGACTTCAGAAGAAGAGAAGAAGCAGCTTTTAGTCTGTCTTACGTTCAGGTGTCACCTAAGAATGAAAAATGCACATTAACACCAAAGTTTCATAATGTGCTTATGCACTTGACATTTTTTTCACATATAACTCGGTGCACTGTTCTTCACACCCGCTGAAGGGTTACCGTCTGTTTCAGTGCTGTAAAATGGGTGGGTGATGTACCTAATTTGGTTTTTGTGCAGTTGCAAACATGAGAACTTACCTCAGATTCGTCTCATTTCATCATGCGGCCCTTAACATTTACTGTCATTTCTTTGACTTTAACCCACACCCAGCGCACCAAGGAAGCCAAATTAGCTGTTTAAGACCCACTGCAGCATTGAGGTAAATACCAGCAGTGAATTCACATTGCTGGCAAAAGTACCACTGCCTCTGTGGCTCCTGGTGCTCGTGACACCACCTAGACATCAGCCTGGCACGGCGTGCTTCAGTGTATCAACAGCCACCTGCCTTCTCCTTTGTACAAACTTGCTAATCACTTAGATTAGCACAAATGTGAAAGCCGGCTAATGTCAAGAGCTGACAGAAGCTGTGAAATAGAGCCAGTCATTGTATGAAAGTCCTCTTCCAGCTTGGAAGGCTTATAGGAGCTCCTGCTTCCCTTGTAGCCATTTAGAAACACAGAGTTTAATTCACAGGATTTCATATTTTGCTGGTGTCGTCATACTCCATGTAATAAGACATTTTATTTTTTAAAAAACTCTGTCCTAATTTGAAACAACATCTAGGCTACGTCCTAAAATGATAAAAGCTGAGAAATGTACAGATAATATTGGTGAGTCATCCTTAATTCGTGCTGTTGTGAGAAAAGAAGCAGTTGATGCAAGTGAAGATGGAGTCTCACCCTTATCTTTGAAATTTTGGGGTGTAGTCATAATATTATTTCAGCATAAAGATTCTCTATTCCTGTAGTCGGGGCTTAGATTTTAAATAATTGGAAGCCAAATTCTGCTGTGCTATAATGCATCAGCGCTAACAAACCCGCAGCTCCTAGCACTAGGGCTGCTAGAAAAACCTAGCAATTTGAAATCACATTCAAGATGAGTTGTAGGTCAGAGAGAAGCCTCACTCATAGCGTAACTGTGATTATACTCCAAGCATGGTGTAGCAGTTTGGTTTGCTTGCTTTTGTTAAAAGCCCATCTATTAATTGCAGTGTGTATTTGGCTTGCAGGTGACTTAGGCATAGTTATCAGGTCTGCAGGCTGAAGAGGCAATTCTGTTCTGCTAGAGTGAAAAATAACATTTTTAAATCTATGCGTGTTTTGATCTACTTTATTGTGCCCTCTAGCTTTTCTGACATGGTACTGTAGCTCACAGATAGGTTCGTCCTGTTGCCTAAAAAAAAAAGGGGGTTATACCTACTGTGTATGCATTTTGCTTTTCAAAAAAAGGTCCCCAAAACCTGTAGTCTGGGTTCAGAAAGTCATGCTTCTTGCTAACCTCACTGCATACACGCTCTTTGGCTGACCTGAGCATGGCTGGCCTGAACACGGGTGTATAAAAGGGGGCTTTTCTTGGGAAACTCTTGGAAGAAGTAAGAGGAAGCTTATAAATGTTGTGTGACAAACACATGCAGAGGAGCTCACCCCAGGAAACTTCATGCCTCCCATAGAAGAAGGTGGGTGTGAGAAAACTGTCTAGTTTTAAGATCTTTGCAATATTCAGAAGTTTCAGAGTTGTTCTTTTTCAAACCAGCAAGGAGGTTTTCCCCTATTAAATGTTGCAATTTACCCTAAAATGGCTATGGAGACAACACATGAACTGCCAAGCTGTGACTTGACTGATGCCAGCTGTTCTAGGCAAGGGCATTGCGTGGCAGTGTAGAGTTGTGCTCCGGGTTACCCTTTCTTTCCGAGATTTCTCTCCCTTCAGTGTGTGGAAAATGGCTGGGCTGCAGTCAGGAGGGGTAGGACGTGATTCCTGTCCCTGAGCATCTCACAGGAAGGGCGTTAGTGCAGCTCTGCAGACTCTCTACATGAGGTGTTTGAACCCGGTTCATGAGTGCATGCTCAGGGCTATCCATGTAAGGAGAGCAGCCCCACCGCCACCTCCTGTCGCAACCATCTTTTCTAAAAAGAGAAGAGAAGGGCAACCATCCATGCCAAGAATAAGCACGCAGGGTTTTAAATCCAGAGGCAGGATGGGGCGGTGGAGCTATCTTGCATCAGCACCCAAACGCTGGAGAAAGGTGGGATTTCAAGCATGTGCTTCTCTTTCTTGTGATCTCGCAAATTTTTCACCCTCCGCCTAGCATCCTGGCTGTTTTGAATCTCAATTCTCCCTGGAAGATGAAGTGCAGGGAACGGAGATAACTTATTTTGGGAGGAAGGTAGAATTGCATGTCAGGATCCAGGAGCCTAAATACCTTTGCAGAATAGAGTCTCAAGCGTTTTATGAAATATTTAGACCTTTCACTGTTCACAAGGGTGAAGTACTGCAAAACACACCTATTTCTAGTGAGTGGGAATAGCATGATATACCATCTAGCTAATTGTTAGCAGTATATTATTTTTTCTGATGTATCGTGATTACAAATGTTTCCCTCCAATAGTGAAACTTTTGCAGCTAATGTACGGCACATGCACACATATATGTAGCACCTTCTTCAGAAACACTTGTGTAATTGCTTTTGACATTAACCAACACGCTGTGCATCCAAGGAGAAGTGATCTCTGAAAGCCGATTCCTGTCCCTAGCCATGTAACTGGCTGTACGATACGTGGACTACCAGCACACTACTGTTTCTAATTTGAAAGGAGAGTTTTGACTGTGGCTGCCTATTCTGCTGTGGAATTTGAAAGAAATGCTTTGGAACAATGAAGATGCTTTCTTGACATGATACGATCCACCCTTGCAATTTTTTTCTTGGCTTGTAGTATGCAATGTACACTGTTAAAAGTCAAATAGGCTGTGACACAAAATTGAGCTGCAGCATACAGTGAAAGGTTCAATGAGCAATAGTCATCATCACCCTGCCTGCCTTTTCTGGAGGCAAGGACAAGTCTGCAGAATATCAGAATGGTAAGGAAAGTTGTTTGTCACCTTTTGCACACAATTCGGGGCAGGATCCGCTCGGTGCCTTTGCCTGACTCTTCTCAGGCTGGGGAGCGTACAGCCTGTGCAGGTAGTTTTATACTTGTGTTGTGGTCTTCGTCTCTTCCTGAGACACGGGTGCACTAGGAGACTTTCTTGCATTACATATAATTTCTGCCAGGGGTGACCAACCTCAGCCAGGGATTGGGGTCTCCAGCCACAGCTGCTTCCCAAGCAACAGCGGGCTGCTCCAGCAGCAAGGTGGGATGATATTCAAGGTGCTATAACAAGAGGTTATCTCCCAAGTAGCAATTCTGTGAAAGGTTGATAAAAACAACGGTACTGGGAATGTCTGAACCCTCTTATTATCGTAACGACGGTTGCAGTAAAATAAATCCCCAAGCAGCACTCTGCAAGGAAAAAGTGAGGTCCTGATCTCTTTTTCCACTCCTACCTCAAACCTGCAGCTGAGTCAAAGGCCCACGGTAGAAGAGCTACGTGAGAGGAAGATCCTCATCCGCTTCAGTGACTACGTGGAAGTGGCAGACGCGCAGGACTACGACAGGAGGGCGGACAAACCCTGGACACGACTCACAGCCGCCGACAAAGTAAGTGGAGCAAGTTTGGGAGAGCCATGATCTCAATAGCTAGAGCATGTCATGGCAAACAGCATCCCCCAGGTCCCACGGCCGTCAAGGAATAAACCTCCACCTGAGTTCCCTTCCCAGCACACCTGTGGTTTCTTGCTATTCACAAGGTTTATTGAGTCATAAATCTTTCGCAAGAAGGCTCCTATATGCATGGAAACCAGGAGCAAGCCTAGCAGCGTTATACCACTTAAACAGAGAGGGGAGAATATCAAGGCCTTTGAGAAAAGGTCTCGAACCCTGTTATTTGTTTGTTGGTTTTGGTCTTGCCACATTATGCTGCCAGCTGAGAGCTCCTGCAAGACCTAGCAGAGCAGTGTGACAGCAGCACTTGCCAGAATTGTTATGCCAGGACAGAGCAGGCCTGGGTGCAAAAATGGCAGCAGGTCAAATAATTGGCAAAAGCATCTCCCACCAAAGCCGGGTAACTTCTCTCTAGGGTGTTACAACAGGGGTGTTTACTGAGGATTTCTGCCCCATTCCACAGAGTATTTGCAGCACTAAACTGAAATCGCATGAGCCCTGCAAATGAAGAAAAGCTGTGTGTTTGGTATCGAGTGTGCTGTCCTCTGAGCATCAGTGGGACCCTCACTAAGTGGTGTCTCTGGTGGCAGCACTGGTGGCAGAGGAGTTGCCAGAGAGTTAAATTGCTGGCAAATTATAACAGTCATATAATTCCTGAGGTCTTAATGGTGCCTCAGGAAGAAGACTTAAACATTTTATGGCCACTGTAAGAAAAGAGGACTATGAGGCTGATCAGTGACTCCCATGCTTTAGTCACTCTATGATGCCCATGTAATTTTAAAGACTTTCAGGTGCCCGTCTGTTTCTTTGCTGTGGGACTCGTGCAGCGATGGAGACCATGATGTCCAATGTTCAGAGACAGGAGCAGGATTCCTGGCCATGCCACTCATTTATGGTGCTCTTGGGTTTATTTGCAGAGGAAAGGGCAGCCCATTCTACTTGTATGATTTAACCAAAGGACTTGTATACTTTTGTGACCACTGGTTTTTCTCCATGAGAGAGGGCTTTTTCAGTTTAGTTTTGGATAAGTTAAATGTAGCATAAACGGATCTGAAAAAAAGAAAAACAACTTCTGGACTGTCCACAGATCATAATATAAATGGGTTAAATTAGCTCTTTCCATTTTACCTCACCACGTTGGACAAGATCTTATTCAACTGACTTAGTTATATTCTCCCAATTGGTAGATGAGGGAGGGAATAAATCTCCCACTGGTTCTGCAGCCTTTTGAGAGATCCCTGTCTGGGATGAAAGGCATGGAGAGACTTCAGCTGGGAAAGGAGAAGATTTGGTGTCCAGAGAGGTCCTTCCTCATCCTGTGTCTGTGAAAAGAACAAGTATTAAATACCACTACTAAATGTAGCCTGGTGAAGAATTCAGTATCAAGGCAAAGTACTTTGAGGTCACTTTTTCTTTTTTATAATGCACGTGCAAAGTCAATACACAGAGCAAAGGGCTTAAGTTCTCCAAGTGAACCTTTTCTAAGCAAAGCAGAAGAAGAAATGTTTGTCATTCTAATATTAATGCCCCTTATGGCATAAGGAAGCAGATATATTATTGGGGGGGGGTTGGGTCATATGGGTGGTATTCTGATTTCTGCCGTTCAGATGACCTGCTTTTCCCCACCACTGTGTCCACTGTTGGAAAAAATAGCCAGGCAAATTGGAAGCAACTCTAAAATGTCTGACAAAGCCGCAACATCCTATAAAAGATTATTTTCTTCCAGAGCTTTGATTCAATAACCATCTTCATTGGTCAGCACAGGCTAGATTTATTGCAAAAACAGATTTTAGTAATGGACTTTTCTGTTTGTCAGTAAATCTTGCTCTGTGTGCTGGACGTAGGGAACTGCCTTCAGTCTGACTTCATCTTTACCAGATCCGACTGTTGCAGGAATAAAAAGGGCACTTTTAAAGCTCTCCAACAGATGAGGGATGCGGGGGGGAATAGATTTCAGAGCTTGTGGAAGTCAGCAGCCCGGGTGGCCTCCTTCACAGTCACTTAAGCAGCAAAGTGGTCTGCTGAAGGTAGGCTCTTGAGTTGCAGCATAGCCCATCGCTCTGTCCTGATAGATGGAGGCAGAGCCCGACAGACATTTCTAAGGTAAATAAAAACCCAAAGCTGTGCAGGAAGAGCATAAGGGGCCTTTTCTGTAGATCGCACTCGCAAACTCTTATCACTTAGGGCTTGTCAAGGCAAAGGTAGTTGGTGACTGGATCAGTGGCTGTTGCAAAAGCCCTGTTTTGGACTTGTGCTGTTTGTACTAGCGTAGATTTCCTTCACTGAGAAAAATTCCTGACAGACACAAGTACCACTGACTGGAGCAGCCACTTGCAGCCGCTGATGCCGATTTCAGCATCACAGGGAAAGGCAGTGGCACACACCTTGGACCCATGGGAGCGTTTGGCTGCAGCAGCCGCCTTGCACATCCTCTCCATACGCTCACAGTGAAACCCACTTGTGAGCTACAAATATCACAGGGCTGTCAGAAGCCTTGACTTTGGGGCTTGGGACTTGAGCCAGTTCTGCTGAGCACCCTCTCCAACATGAAGCTGAGTCCCTCCAAGTTACCCCTTCTTTTTTTTTTTTTTTTGTTCTTCAATATTTCTCTTCCTCCCAGTCACCCCCGGTTTTCTTTTCCCTCATGGACAAACCACAGAGGCTGTAGGTAACTGGGTCTCCTGCAGGTGCTGAATATGACCGCCTGTGGCTAGTTTTCTGCTGGATTAGTGCATTGAATCAGTTCAGTAAATGCCACAGCTGGGTGAGGAGGGCAGAGGGGCACAGCCCGAGGCAGAGAG